GAAAGGTCAAAAGTCACAGTAATAGAAATCATTTTACCTATTGAAAAACTAGTGGACAATTCGAACATTCGAGGTTACCTAGGATTCATAGCCTAATAAAAGCGACAAAAAAAAAAAAAATGCACAGTAAAATTTAGTTACAGTTGAAGTTCCTTATCATTAGTATTGACTTGGAGGACTGAAAGGGGAAGATTTCTTTTAAAGGAACTGTAGCACATTTCGGCGAACGATTCTCAAGAACCCATTCCAAACTCTGAACGACGAGTTCAACTTTTCTGAATTTTCCTTCAGAAAAGGGTAAAACTTTACCTTCGAGCATGTTAATGGCTTCCGTTGTATTCCCAGGCCTTCCTCAACGGTTAACAGTTGTTTATAAATTTAAAGTATATATCAACTTGATATCAGGCGGAACAGTAAAAACAAAACTGAAGGCTTATGAAATTTACCTTTCTTGTGCAGCCAGACAATGTAAATGAATTACAGAAGGATTATGAACACAAGCTTCCCAATTATGGAAATCAGCTGAACGTCAGGGCACGAACACTTAAATTCTTCTTGAGCTGAAGAAAAAGGAAGAGTTTCATAGGCCCGACTAACAGACAGGACGAACAGACAGGACGCTTCATCAGCCAGTTTTTGGTCAACCGATTTTTATATATTTCAATTCCATTTTGAGCGTGAGATCATTTTTCAGTAAGTTGCGAAGTTGTATTAGAGAAAAGCTATGTCAACCGGAAAAAATTATCTCACGTCAAGTTTGTGGGGAAATACCAAAAAGAAGCCAGAGCGTAGAGCAAGTCGCAAGAGGAAAGATTCGAAATCAACATATTAGACGGGTTTTCACATGTCAATATTGTGAAAATCAAGGTAACGCGTCAAACTTACTTGTGAACATGATTATCGCTGATTCAATCTCATTTACATTTCAATTTACGTACAGGACATTGATTAAAATTTTAGGTTGAGAACACGCATCTCAAACGTGCGAGCGAATCTTTTAAGTTGATAACAAATGAACCGTGCCGTATAACTGAAATGAATGTTTTGAACGTCCACTCAATCATTATGACTTCACCCTCCAAACCACTGCTTACGCGGGCTTCGCATCAGCTAGCCCACGTGAAGCCCTCGTGCTATTCTCTCGTGTTATGCACTCGTGTTATGCCCTCGTGTTCTGCCTGCGGTACACTGCACTGCATCACCGCGTTTGAGTATGCACACTTCATCGGGTTGCTCACATGCTTACTAACGCAAGCGCACCGGAATTCTTAGTCATACAGATGCGCGCCTGCGTTTACTCTTCTCCTTTCCCCTATGGGGGTTCCGCTTTTGCATATTTACGGCCAAGATTTGGCCGGAAATTCAAGCGTTCGAGCATGCTAAAAGTAGCACCTCGTACGTACGAACGGTCGTTTGATCAAAGGATTTTTCCGAGTTTTCACCTAATTTTTTGGCTTGATAGGTTAATAATTTTGATGAACATGATAATGGGCAAAGTTGCCAAAGGCAGAGGAAAACCCTCCGACGGCTAAAATGGAAAAATCGGATAATGTGTTGAGAAGCGAGACAACAAATCGACAGACAGCTTTTAAAAATGACGATTCTAGGTGATTGTAAATGTTTTTGTATCAAGGCTGGTACTTGCATGAATAAAAAGAAACTCGTTTTAATCTTTATCTTTGACAAATTTTGGTCTAAAGGCGACCTCTTTGTTGGAGATCTGGACGCCAGCGTGGAGTGGAGAGTACCAGTGGCTTTCACCAAGGATTTTTTCTTTTCTTGACAGAATGGTACGTACCCTTGTTTTCTTCTTTGAGTCTGTTTTTCTTTTTACCCAAGGACTTTTTATTTCTCCATGAGCAAAGATTTTTCCAAAAGCAAAGGGCTTTCACGCGCGAATTTTGTTTAGTGAGTAATTTGAATAAAATGTGCAAAGAACGTGAAAAGGAGAACTTGCTGCGAAAATTCTCCCAGTGGATTCACCCAGTACGAGATTATGGCATCTTCCTGATTTATCAACTTTTATTTGAAAATAATTTTTTTCGAAAGAACTAGGAAGCTTTTGTAGATTTTAATTTTATTTTCGGAAACGTTACGTAAAATACTTGACTTAAATTTATTCAAGTAAAAGAAAAAACGACTTTAACCTGTCATAGGTGGCCTACGCTAGAGAGTTGCTGTCGAAGAAATTGTTTGTTTCTCTATCTAACGACAATTTAAGGAAAATGTAGATGATGACAAAAAAATTTTTCAGTTTTAAAATTTCATCGTTTTGAAATGAAAGATGAAAAGTACCGAACCACAGAGATCATTAAACGCGAGATAAAGTAGTCCTTTTTTCATTTCCATTGAGTGGGTTCGTTCAACATTGAGTGGGTTCATTCAACATTGAGTGGGTTGGTTCAACATTGGCTGGGTTGGTTCAACATTGACTGGGTTGGTTCAACATTGAGTGGGTTGGTCCAACATTGAGTGGGTTGGTTCAACATTGAGTGGGTTGGTTCAACAGGTAAAATTGGTGTAATCTTAAGGCTTACATGCAACTCGAGCAAAATCTATCAAAAGCACGAGAAATACTACTGTGCGAGGAAATAAATCATGCAAATCATGCAGAGATAAAAAAAAGACAATTACAACAACAACAACAACAACAAGACTATATAATCATACAACTTATCATCCACATGTTGTGGTTTAGCCATTCTGTATCCCTCTTGAAGTAAGTTTACAATTTCTCTTGCATCTATCCGCGGATACGGTGAACCACCTAAAAGAGAGTTTCTAGGCTGACATACTCTGAAACGAAAGCCTCCACATATGCAAAAATATTTTCACACAACTCTATCATTTTTGTATCGTCGTTCAGTTTTTTTTTCCCGCCAAGTCCAGCGACTGTAGCAATCTGAAGAACCTTGACAATTGTGATACAAGCGACCAAAACCAAATTCCCCAGAGAGAGGCGACTTACCAATCGTGAAAATCTCATAGAGGAGAACTCCGTAGCTCCATCTGTAGAAGGAAAGAGATGAGTTTAAAAGAAATTAGCTTTCTTGCCTGCAAAAAAAAAAAAAGGAATTTGAACATCTTCGGGAGGGAGGGGTGCGTTGATATTGGAAAGGGCTACAGGAAACAGATCAAATGAGTTAATCCTTAGTCATTACCCATAATACAATGCGAAAATGACTGTAAACATTCCTTATCGTTTTGAATTGACCTCACATCAACAAAATACAAACGACAATAAAACAGAACTTACCAAATAACCTTTCCCAAACCTGAAAACATTTTGTGAAAAATATATCTATTAATTAAGGGCTTAAATTAGTGTTCATGTCATCCTTGTACTCACACATCACTCTTTGTAGAATATTTTCCATAGAGCAACGCCTCAATTGCAGTCCATTTCACAGGAAGGCGCCCCTGAAAAAGAAGCAAAAAGTCAAGTTGAGGAAGTCCTTGGAAAGCACAAATGCTTCTAATTACAAGAACAATGTAACGAGAGGTTCTGAAATGGGTTTATTGAGCCTGTTTACTTTCAACAGTCAGTAAGGCTCACCAGCGGACTCACCAGTCGTGAAGCATCCTCAGCCAGGTAGACTAAGGCATGCATTAAAGTAAGTCTTTCTTAAATTATTCGTACCCTCGTTTTTTTTTCGTAAATGTCTTCCTCTTGAACTTTTCTGGCCATACCAAAGCTTGTTAATTTGCATGTCTC